TGAGATTCCAATTGCTACACAGCATGATCTCAGGGCTCTTCCTCTGAAACAATGCTTGGTTGCAATATCATCCAGCAAGTGCAAAAATGTACTACCACGGTCAAGGATCATTTGGCATGTTCATCGACTATGTTAACCCATTGAGTGGCACCATGCACTCTCCACCTGATGAGTAAAATTGTCTGGTGTTAGACAGAGTAAACTAACAAAGTAGGGTGCATCTGGGTGCATTGGGCCATTCCATTCAATGTACACACCCCTATGGACGATGTACACACACCCCTAAGAAAAAAGATCAAAGTGCCGACACCAACACACACACCCCAGAAATTAAGAAATTTTTGCCTTATCCCTCAGAAAAAAATGCAAAGATCAAAGGTTACGGATGCACACAACCCCTAGAAATGGCTTTTTCAACCCCCTCAGAAATTCTAGTCCATGGGAGGAGGGGGTGTATATTAAATGGATGGGCCATTGCCACTTAAAGGGTTAAAAACGTAAATACCACAGCACAACACTTGTACATATACATATACAAGTAATACAACAGCAATCCTTTTATATATTTAATAGTCATATTTACATATTGGTGAAATATCAATGTCCATATATTAGGGATGTCCATGAAGTTATGAACTTGCCCCCAGTTTGAAGCTAATGTATTCATATCTTTTGTATAAGTTCTCTCTCTACAAACCAACTTTTAGTCATTATACAAGAGTTGAATTTGCATTCATTTGCTTCGTAAGTCGCAACAAACTGAACAAAGTACTAAACCATAAACCTGTGCAATGATCGAGCGTCTTTAGCGACATATCCAAGTCTTTTAAACGTCTCATACGAACAAATCTCACTGAGTTTTTCCTACAGAAAGTATTGATCCATTTGATCGATCGCCGTACTTCGAGAAAAGCTTGAAATGCAAAATTCACAGGGAAGATTGAAGAATTTTGGAGATAAAAACTGTTTGTCTTCGAGTTTCACCTATTCACCCCCCGGTTGAGAAAAGTAACAATTACGTAATGTTGGAGTCACGTGACCAGCGTTTACCAGGGCTCAACCATTGAACTATAAATAAACTGGAAGGCTAACTGCTATGATGAAGGCCTATGATTTGATGAAGCCAAAATAGTTTTTCTGAGTTATGAGCAGAAATACTTGACCCCAAACGTCGGGCTATATATCAAATTGAAGCTATTAAAAATTGCTATTCGGTGTGGAAATTTCAAGACTTCAGCGAAAAGAAAAATATTTAAAAAATACAAAAACAACTGCAAAACGGCAAATTATCGGTAATTATGTTTGTCGTTTTTCAATATTTCCCTTTTAGCTAAAGTCTTCAAATTTCTACACCAAATAGTGTTTTTCAATAGCTTCAATTTGATATATAGCCCAATGTTCAGTGTTGAGTATTTCTGCTCATAACTCAGAAAAACTAAAATGCACTGGCTTCAATTTCCCCCCCTGAGTTAGCCTTCCAGTTTATTTATAGTTCAATGTAGAGCACCTAGTCCCCAGGCCTTTACCAGCGCGGCCGCGAAATTCAATATGGCGCCAAGCTAAGGAGTGGAGTTTAAATGGAGCTAATATTCTATAATTTCTATTGTTGTTTTTTGATCTTTTTATTCTTTTTGGTTGGTAGAACTAATATTCTGAAATGCCAGGTATCTTACACTTTATCTGAAAAAAGATTTTATAACAGAATTTTTCTCAAACATAGTTAAAGTTAATGTATTAAAGTCTTATCTACTGAGTTGTTCATTTAACAATTAAATCAATTTAAACTATTTTACTCAAGTTGGCAAGCTACGATTAAATAATTACTTGGCTTGATGAAGATGATATTATTTAAGCAGGATAATACATGCCAATGTAGTCGTAATGCATTGACAGCATTCGAATAGGTTGATTATTAGCAGTTTTAAAAAGTTAAACTGCCAGACGTACGATATTTTATCATATAATTGATATAAATTATAAAAAGTAAAGTGCTATAACTGAATAGTGGAACAATATTGCTTCCATTTTGACCACCACACTCACAATTACCTTATGAATGTAAGAATGCCATGTTCACATTGTGAAAAAATATTATGATTCTGGCAAACATACCAATTAACATGGGCAAATTTGTTTAAACAACGTACACTGCAACAAATCATGATACAGACAAGCACATCCTGTATATGAGGCTTGCTAAGATGTGTAACAAACATTATTCAACATCAAACAATTTAGTTACTGTCACAAAAACACACATAATAGAGTAAAACCTTATATGAATATCATATCTGTAAAGAATTCAGATATTCAAGTACTTCAACAAGACATAAAAGAACACATAGTGGAGGCAAACTTTATGATCAATCTCATGTTTGTCATTAACAGTAGGGTGTAATGGACTAAGGAGTGGACCATTAGAAAAGTGATGGGGGGGGGGGGAGGGAAGCAAAAATAAAAATTGAACAGAAAAAAAAACTTGTGCACCAAAAGTTTGAAAAAAAAATTCGTGCAGAGACTTTTCAATAGGGAAAATTATAAGTTGAGTTGTTGTTATAAGTTTACTATCAGGGGGAGGGGCAGAGGAGGCAATTTGCCCCGAGCCCCCAGTGTAAGGATGGCCCCCAAATTTGAAAAATAAAAAAATAATTTGGAACGCTTTTTATATAAGTAATGGTGTGAGAAAAAATTTCCTAAACCTAAATCTTGCAGATATTGGTGCAAAAAAAAAGGGTTTTAGGTTTTAAGCGTGTTTTAACAAGAATTTGTCAGGGAAAATTTCTTTTGAACCTAATTAACTTAATTGATGTTAGTTAGTTTTTTCAAAAAAAATTTTGAAAAAATAATTGTACAGGTTGGAATATTATGTCCTACACCCCCCCACCCCCATCACTTTTCTAATGGTCTGTCCCTAAGCCATCCCTTTTAATGTGTTTCTTTAGTTGGGAGAGGAGTTCTGAGGCCCTTCATAATTTTTGAAGATTACATTACATAATACAATATTAATTTTACTCATTGCAAACAGTAAGCTACAAATGAGCCTTGTATTCCATGGACCATGGAATGCAAAGTATTTAACTATTTCAGGGTAAAGTTCAGTGATTTAGAGTATTTATATAGATATTGTTTTTAAGAAGTTAAAACTGATCACATCATCAATCTATTTTTGGGTCAAGGATATACCCTGCAAAAATAGGACTTTCCATTTATTTCACAACTTGAAATTCACACTCTATTAGATACTAGGGGCATATGGGGTACTCATTTCCCAGAGCCTTAATTATGGATAGGATGAAGTCTCAGTGCACCCCGTCAAGGGCCCCCAATGCCGTACTGTTCAGAGTGTGGGCAGGGAGTCCGCTTTTAAGCTAAAAAATTTTTTAAAAATATTAATCAATTAAATAAATAATTAAATATTAATTAATAATTATTAATTATTATTTACTATTAATTTGTTTATAATTATTATTATTAATTAATTAATTATTAATTTATTAATTAAATTAATTATTTAAATTAAAATTTCCAAACACTGCATAAAGGTTAGCCCAGGGACCTTCCATGACAAGGCACACCCCCTGGGCCGCTGGCTCTTGCCGGGCACAGCCCTCAAGAGTTGTGCCACTGAGGAGTGAACCTCTGACCATATTCCAGCCAGCTTGCTGTACTACTGTCTATTTACTTGAGCATAAAATATCATTGTAGAAGAGCTAATTCAATCATAAAATGTTGAGTTCATAAACCATGATATGCAGGGCAAAGGTACAGAAACGTCTAGTGGCAAGGGTCGACCAGAGGGTGGGTACAATTGCATCTGACTGATTTCTCAATGAGTATGGAATACTCGGGATTACCAAGTTAATTGGTCTTTTGGAATTTTGTGTATATTATGTTTATAATGCCAATGGAGAAAGTGCATTACCACTTGCAATCTAGCTACAGCATTGATTTATTTTTCACAATTTTGCAAACTATTAATTAATGGCAGCTGGCAATGTCACAATTGTAACACAAGCTAGGCCGTCGGAACGGGGGGCTTGACCCCCCCCCCCCCCTATAATTTCCATTTGTATAAGCAAAACACACAAAATAACTAGAAAAGTGCAAAATCAATTAAAATTTGTTCAGATATATTCTTGAGTCCCCCCAATATTGATTTACTTCCGATGACCTTGTAACATCCTGCCCAGATATAAGCTAGGCCCTCATGTATACAAGGTTATAAATACCCTATTGAATAACTTGCACACCTGACATCACTATAAAGAAAAATGGGCCGGCCCTTGCTTGTGCCGGTTAAAAGGTTTTAGTTCATGAAACAAGACAATTAGGAAAGTAGTAAAAGAGGACACATTAGTTGTGAATTTGTTTTTTTTGCTATCCTCACGATAATGTTCACTCAGTATGAAATGAAAAGGTACTCAGTGCACAACCTGTGCAGAGTCCATTTTGTATGTTGGCACACAATTTGGCATTAAAATTGTATATTGTTGATTATAATCATAATCTTTTTAGCCCGGGCACTCAGCCCGGGCACTCAGGTTGTTTTGGGGGCATGCTAGGCGAACAGGTGAGGACTCTGAACCCGGCATTGCTTGAGGAGTAAGATACTTAGGGTACTAACCCCAATTACACATACCACATGAAATACCTAAGGTTACATGGCGACAATATATTTGTAATACTAATTATATACTGTACAATATCTCAAATGCTCAGAGGTATGGGAAATTCAATTTGTAGCCCCCCCCCCCTTTCGATTTTTACACTCCCCTGTTGGCCAGGAGTGTACCTCTGTCAACCCCGTCCCCTCCCCCTATAAACCCAACTGTATGCTGGGATGGATTTACTGGGGGGTGCACCCCCTAGCCCTGGCCAGGGGGGGGGGGTGCTATTTTTCATGATAAAGCAAAAAAATATTAGAGACAAAATGAGATACAGTGATTTGAGTGATAACATGATAATAAGCAAACTATGAACAACAATTACAATTCAAATACAGTAGTCAAGCAAGACTTGACTTCAGGGCCATAGCGAGGGGGGGGTATTGGGGAGGTGGTTAAACCCCCCCCAACTTTTGTAGAATTTACATATTTGGAAAATCGGGTTGGCCATTCGGAAAATTACGGCAATAATAGTATAACAAAATTCAGTAGTTGTTAAACAGAGAAAATATAATATAATTGTATTGTGAGTATAAACTGATTTACGAAATCATGGCATTTACATGGATAACATTTAACAAATTGTAAATCGGTAAATTTTTTTTCGGTTTATTACTTCTTAGGGTCGTAACAACCGGGGGGAGGGCCGGGCTGGCTGCAGCCCTCCCAATAATTTGCTAATAATCATTCTTTTTTCAAAATCATGCAGACCTTTATCATTTAAATAATATACCTTTAAAATACTGACAATTTAATTTTAAGCCGCGCTACATTATCCATGACAAACTGCAAAGAATCATATTACCCATACTTTCCTGCAACTTCCCCGAAATATATGTTAATTAAATACGCCTTCGCCCATTTGGTACTACTATAAATTGTAAGCAAATTGTAAATTTGGACATACCAAAATGCTGTTTTCTGACCATCAGAATTCTGTCAAAACTTCCTTTTTTCGTCATTCTGAAATTTTTGGCCTACACCCCCCCCTCCCCCCTATGCATGTTAGCTACGGCCCTGCTTGACTTGTAAGTTGATGGGCAGGTGGCGTACATGACCAACATAACTTGGCATTAGAGCTGGCAGATCAAAACCACCCCCCCCCCTACCAGATCATGCCGGATCCATCCTGCCACCATGACTGTTGGTGCTAATTAAACAGTGCAATCTTGAACGGTCTGTGCCAGGCTAGACGTAACAAGATAACTTAGTACCTGAAAAATTCAAACAGAACTTCACTCGAAAAGTCAATAATTTGTACATTCCGCATGGATGTTCAAGTTCTGTGGATTATGGAATAAAAACTAGGCTGTTATTACAATTTTCAAAATTGAAGTTGAAACTATAATTAATTAACAAAAGTCAATGGTATGTCTTCTGACGGTTCACTTTATGTGTGGTATGTGTCAAAAATTATGTATGGCCAATCTATTTTTTACTTTTAGAGCATAATTCACTGAAACATATAGATATTATTTAAATATTCATTCACTTTTTACTTTTAGTCTTTTATAACTATAATGTTTGAGAAAAATTCTGTCATAAAATCTTTTTTCAGATTAATCAGATAAAGAATAAGATACCTGGCATTTCAGAATATAAGTTCTACCAACCAAAAAGAATAAAAAGATCAAAAAACAACAATAGAAAATATAGAATATAAACTCCATTTAAACTCCACTCCTTAGCTTGGCGCCATATTGAATTTCGCGGCCGCGCCGGTAAAGGCCTGGGGACCAGGTGCTCTACCGTATCTGAAATAGCCTTCACCAACCCACTGAGGCTCAACCTCGTCCCCAGGGTCTTCCTCGTGGTGGCGCGTGAGCTGAGGAAGACCCTGGTAAAATACGATGAAATCTCCAAGATTCTTGGAGATTTATCGCATGCGCAGTAACGACAACGTTATGTTGCTGACTACAATTAGCGCTGGCGCTTACGATTTTCTTGCCTAAAAATATACATGTTTTGTTGAGTGTTTATGGATTTATTCTCAAAGTTTTAACAACTTTTACGAAAAATACTTCAGATATAAGCTGTGAATACACATGTACACAAAACTGTGCAACATTCATTATCATATTGTATCAATTTGTCGGAGTATGGCGCTCAAATTTGTGACATTGTTTTGTTCGCTTTGGCAACCCTCGTATATATCAGATGCTGTTCGGCCTCAAATGCGACTGAATAAACACTGCTAGTGTTGCCTGGAATATGAAATGATATTGAATGATTGTTCCGTATATCAAGGTACGTACTGTACATTTATACTGGATTTATTTTTACACGAGTTTCAAACTATTTCAGCTTTATGAACAATGAGATCACATCACTAACATACAGAAAGACTCCATACTTTCTCATCAAATGTGATTATCGTTACAAGTAACAGTAGAAATGCTTCAAAATTTATTCTGTATGTAAAGCAGGCCAGCATGTTTCATTTTCCTTTGGTGGTAGTCACCACTCACCAAGTCAAATAGGCCATTCCATTTAATAGCCCCCCCCCCCTATTGTCTATTGAGGTCTGTGTAGTAGTCAGTGTATATAAACATATACTTTAATATCAAACAACAATATAAACATTACATGAACAAAAACACGAATCAAATATGGTTTTTCTTCTACGACATTATCCTATAAACTAGCGGCCATTGAGAGTCCATGTGCTCTCTACCTGTTCGCAGGTTGTACCTCCCTAAAATCCTACTACATTCCATTCCTTTTTTTAAAAAAGAGAACATATGTTTGGTAATATAAACGTATTTAGCTAACAAGGAAGACACTTGTTCTTATAACAAACACAAAGTAATTGTAAATCTTCAAGTTGCTTTTGAGCGTTCTGTCCAATCTTATACTTATCGTCTAACTCAATAGAACATAACACTCTATTTGACTGTACAAGTTCAGTAGCAGGTTCATCTTCTACTTTAACTTGTCTCAGGGCTTTGTTCCACTTTGTCTTCTTCGATTTTCTATCCCAAAGTTGTATATCGTACACGTCTTCGTCTTCGTAGTAGCTGACGATTCTTCCTATACCATAGCGTCCTCCTAGACGGTCTAAATGGTATTTCACTGGTTGACTGGCATCCAACAGTTTCAGAGAGTTTTTTCCACCGGTTGCGTCAGGCATTTCAAACTGTATCGATGGTGTATGAATCAGCAACTGACAAATTCCACCAATGCTTTGAAGAATCTTTTTGAACTCGGGATTTTTTGTGTAAAGGTATTTGCACGCTTCTCCGGTTGATGACTTATAGTCTTTTTGTGATTTTAACCAAGCATGCAGTTCTTCGATCATGATTCTTATGTCGTCATCAAAAAAGTCTCCAAGCTTTTCGTAGACAATAAACGAACCATTTTCAAACTGCGGGTTGCGATGGGATTGTGAGATTTCGGGCGGGGTGTCCTCTTCTTCGTTTGGATTGGTTTGTTCGGGGTTAGATTCGTTGACTGACCAGGGTTCAACTTTGATCAATTTGTCCACATTGGTTGGGTCGAGTATTTTCGCAGTTTCGACATGTTCCAATCGATAATTGTCACCATTTGGCATTTGTTCTACAATGCGGTATGGGCCAGTCCATCGGGTAGCCATTTGGCTGCGATTCCTGTTTGACCACTGCGCTGAGTCCGACGAACTACAACAAGGTCACCAACTAGGAATTGAGTTGTTTTTCGGCCTAGATCGTAGTAATCTTTCTGCTTGTGTCGAAGTTCTTTCGTGATAGCAGCCATATATTCACGAGCTTTA